TTGTTGCAAAACTGCCGAATATCCAGAAGTTAAAGCCCGAGCAAGATCAATGTTTGCTAAGTGTTGTTGGTGGCCATGATTCGGGAAAAGTTTAATTTTCCAGCTCACTCCGCTAGTGGTGAATGAGTTAGCTAAGGCGAACGATAGGATGCAAAGCCGATAGTTGTTGTCGTCTCTTCTTGTTGCACTAATGGAGGACCAAGTGAGGGAGGCAGAAAGGTTAGGAGTTGGTGCTGGGCAGCTCGGCGTGCACGATGATCACTGTAACGTTACAGCATTTGCGGCAGATCCGAAACGACCGCAGCGGCGTATTGTTAATGATTACACCCAGCTTCGACAGTTGATTGAATACATCACTGTCCTTAGTGTCAAATATACATTTAGAATTTAGAATTGTTCCTTGAACTCTTAAATTCGATGAACAAAACATGCAGCTCTCGTTGACAGACATCTTATTCTAAACATAATCCTCTGATCATTCGGACTTGTTTTTTTTTATTGCTTAAAACAATACACAAGTAATAACAGAAAACATAATACAAAAACAAACAAAAAATAATAATAAAAACAAAACAAAAATAAAACAGTAGGGGGATAATATAAAATAAACATGAACAAGTTAAGAGAATTACATGACACTGAAAAAAGGAAAATAATTACAAACAGATAATGTTTTTAAGGCTTTTTTTGTTCTCAGACAACTTAATTGAAAAGAGGTATTTTTAAAATTCTTTCACAAATATAAGAAAGAGAGGTTTAGCATTTAGATATTTAGATTTATGAATATGGAATTCGGACTTGTTCTTTCCAGCCGGTTTCGGCGCATGACATACGTCACGACCACACGTTAGCGATTGGCTATGGCAGATCCTGAGTGACGCTGGGCAGATCCAATAGTTTTGAACTTTAACAGAGAACCCGCCTACAAGGAAGTAAACGTTTCTCAATGGAGCGAGGCCAGACTCTCTGTACAAATGAAATGTACGAGAGTCTGGTAGAACCAGGCTAGTTGGGAGTAGGGATGTGCCCGAAGCTGAATATCTTATTCGGAAAGGTACGGAAAATGAATATTGCATTCTACGGTGCCCAATAAGAGACATGCTGTGGTTTTCCATTACATCAGATTTCACTTGTCACGTGACGAGAGTAAGGAGCGATAACTGACAGGACGATGGCGGAGGATTTGGTGCGCAACAGATCCTGACTGTCATTGACAAATATCTTATCTATAATGTGCAGTCAGTACCGCCGCTCCCTAAACACAGTGTTCACGAAAAAGCGAGCACGCATTCAAAAGCAATTTTAATACCACGCATATTAACAGCTGCTCCCTGATTCCCGCAAATTATATACAATATAATCACCCAACTATATTATTGCAAGAAAACACAAAAGCATTGAAATATATGTTTTCCTCCGATCTCATATACATCTCATTTCTATCACTAGGTCCCTTTTAGGGCACCCTAGAATGTGTCATTTTCTTTCCGAATAAGGTATTCGGCTTCAGGCACAACCCTAGTTGGAAGGGACTTTGTTTTATCCATTAGGAATGGATTGGATCATAAAAGGTGGCAATTAAATACCAGAATACTGTCAATTAAGACTACATCCATATTAATCTGAATAGACTTAAAAAATGCATCTTTTAATCTAGGTTTTGGCCTTCTGTCAACACTGAGGTGTCATTTTTGACCATTGAAAATGTTTTTCGAAGATGCTCTCCCAAGTGGATAAATTTGAAAACTCAGTGAGAATTGAGGTACTTGAAAACGATGATGCATGTTTAGTCGTGTGTTACATATTGTATACATATATCTATCTGTGGTTGTACTGGAATTGTTGTGTCTGCTATTCACGTTCATAGACTTATTAAAGATCAATTTTACTTGGTACAATCTTCATATAACAGTCCTAAAATATGGACAATTGCATTTTAGACCCTGAATGGCGATTTTGAGTGTGACCTGGGAACCAGTAAGTGGTGGGAAATTTTGCTAATGAAATTATCGTGCCAGAAGCATGGTGTGAGTAATTTATTATGTCTGATCTGATCTCTCAATATTATCTCAGTGAGCTTTTATTCTGTTTTAAACATCCACAGTATGGAGACTGGAAAGTAGGGGCTTTTGCACTGGAGGAACATTTTCATAGTTCTTATTATAACTATTGGCAGAAGTTCCCACATTTTGCCGTGTTCACACCTCAGGAACTGGGAACGGTTTTAGTTACAGGAACACCTTTTGAGGGGACAAACTTCAGAGTAGGGTCTAACCCAACACAACAGGAACTACCAGTGATGTGTAAATTGATTGGCTGAACGCATGCCATATGAAACACAGACACTCGCCATTTTTAACAAGCTGTGTTAACACAGAGTTTACATGAACTAACTCCACGTACATGGAAAACAGCGATATGGGCCGACTCAGAAGTCCAAGCGCTTCTCAACTTCTACGCTACTGAGTTGTTGAATGCGGCTGTCGGCCGGCTTACGTCACTTCAGAGTGCCTAATGACGGTATGAATGCAACCAGTAAAACGGCCCCGGGGGATCATTCAGTTCTCGGGGGACCGCCCTGGTGACTAGTTCCTATAACTGAGTTCCTGCAACTACCTGGTGTGAAAGTCCCTAATGTGGACAGGCAACTTCAGGAAAGGCTTGAAAATGCTAGTGTGGACAGAGACCGTTGTTTCGAAATGAAAACGCCAGTTTCAGATATATCCGGATTAATGTGGACGTAGCCTAATGAGCATTAGTCCCCTTCTAAAACACTGACACACACTTTTAAGGAGGTTTTTGACTGGGATTTGAAGGTTGAAGTCAAGTTCACCAAGGTCATCTCATCCTATCCCAACGGTAACTCTTCTTTTTCTAATCTGCCCTTATTATTGCCTAAATCTTTATTACATTAACATTACTAAGCATTAAATGAGCATGTCAACGATTGGCAAGGCTGCATTACCTACTAAAGTGAACTATAACTACGCCTAAATAGCTATGTCAACTGGTTAGCAGCATAAAACAAATAGACCAAACCCACGTGGCCTAGTGGACATCAGCCAAAAAGAAAATCCTTTCAGAGGCACAGCAAGTTACTTTTTCTTTGGAAGCTTGATAATGAATCTTGCACAATAAGACCAGAATCATGTATTAAAGGGATGGTTCGCGCAAAAAAACATTTACTCAGAAATGAAGTCACACAGGTTAGGAACGACATACAGTGCATTTCGTGTATGCTAGGTGTGTGTACTACTTTATAGCCTACATATATTTCCCCCATCTTCTTCTTTCTTCCTCATAACCAAGACAAGCTGGTCATAGTGGCCTCTCCAATTTCATTCATTACTCATCAGTTTTAAAGTAGCTTTCCATTCTGTTATTGCCACAGTTAGTGCCTCCCTTTGAGGAGTATAACGACTCCTCACCAGGAAGGAGCTCAAACATGTGGCTGAAGGGCACACCTCTCATGACAAATAATGAAACTGGAACAAGCAGTTGGTCAGATCAATCAACTATGGCCCCTGGTATTAAGATGCATTTTGGTCAATGAGATCACAAGTGGACGACGCTAAATACAGGTGTTAACGGGGCCTAACATTTTTTGAGCGTGTCGTCTTTCGACCACTTCCAGAGGTAATCAAAAACGCATTAGAACGTATTGCTCATGTGGTCGAATGCGTTCAAACAGCCACAAAAGACCGTCTACTCTCCGTCTACTGACCTAGGCCTAATGCGTGAACATTATGGGAAGCACACTAGCCAGACTGGATTTAAACTTTGTCAGCTGTAGACAAAAAGTGTAGTTTTTAAGACGAAAAACGTACCAAGCACGATGTTCCCTCACCATTCCTGATTTATAACACGCATTCACAGCGGTCACCATAGTCTTGTGACTATCAGAGCAGAAACGAAAGCTGCTGCTCTCTGTGTTTATTTCATCCATTAGATTGAAAGATCTGAAAAAGCCCATACATTTACCTGACCATAGACCCTCCCCTTAAAGAAATCAGGACAGAAGTGGTTGAAAGTGGTCAAAAGAGACAGATTAAAGCAGCAGGTGTAAACGGGAATGCGTCTCCCTCGTCTACTTGTGATCCGATCAACCAAAACGCATCTTATACCAGGTGTAAATCAGGCCTAAGAGTCTAATAAGGAATATGTGAAAACTGCCATGAGGAATGGACTCATACAGTTCAGGCTACATCTTTGTGGAACATCAAATCATGCGCTCAAAAAGTTGGTGTGGTGGATTTATGAACAATTCATAACTTTATAACAATGCAGCATCAGCAGAGAGCCAGCATTGGGTTCAGTATGTCAAGTATTTATGGATTCCAGAAAGGTGTTGTATTACTTTGAGACTGTTCTTCAAGATGGCGTAAGCCAGATGCCATCATGATTTCTTCTGCTAAAACTTTTAACTCATAACTTCTTTGGTTTATTTCTTCGACTAATGGGTTTTCCATTGCCTCTGAGGGCATCTTTTCATTTTGTTTTTAAAGTTTCAGCTTCAAGTGTGTGTGTGTGTGTGTGTGTGTGTGTGTGTGTGTGTGTGTGTGTGTGTGTGTGTGTGTGTGTGTGTGTGTGTGTGTGTGTGTGTGTGTTTGAGTAAATATGCACAGGAGTCTGAACGAGTGGGTAAATTATAAAACTAGTCTTAGTAACAAATCCACATTGAGCTTAAACATTTTGTAGTACAAGCTGGGACATCATCAATAGGAAGCTTCCGTATTTAAGTGGAATAAAGCAGCAGTAATAAAACAAAGTGCTTTACTGTAACACTTTGCATTACAGTGTTTATTATTCACTGCTTATGTATGTACAGTAACACTGTATTGTAAAGTGTGGTCAGTTATTTGAAATCTACAATGTTGGCATAAGAATGTAGGCTAACTTACATAGCTTCGTGCATCTTGGTCTACAAGGGTACGTTGTATTATTGGTTAAAGACAACTTACATACATATTTGTATTTAATATAGTTATTTACTGACTTACCTTTAGTTGAAACGGATGGATCTCATTTAGAGAGTGTCTTCTGAGTTTTTTAGTGAGGGTCTTCAGCATTCTGCCCTTCTTTGATTGTTCTCAGCTTTAAGATCACTTCTTCAAATTACAGATTCCTATCGGATTCATAATTGGATCGATCAGCTCTTTCTAAGAACAGTCAATGCGTGTATTCAGAGATGTTCAGCTCCATGCAAACAAACTGATGCTGAAACACAAATAAACAACGATCATGAGTTCCCAGAGGCAGAACAACAGCAGATCTCCGGCAGGAGGGACCCGGTCTGGTTTTAAAATTAAGTCTCATAACTTGGTCTAAACATCCATCACTCTGATGAAGGTAAATTCTTTAAATCGAACTATTTATGTCCTGTATGGTGTTGAATTGATCAGCGGCAGTGACACTCGTCATCAAAAACGTTTTTAAAATCCAGATGGGTAAAAACAATGTTAATCTTACTCCAAACGGCAGATGGACGATGAAGCTAGTGTGTGTGTGTAATTTAAAAAAACAAAGTCTCTATAGAATTTCAATCGCACTCATACACGCACACACTCGCACTCACACATACACACACACACACACACGTATGCGCACTACACATGCAACTCGCGCTAGCTCATGCTCATCGCGCTCTCTCATTGGTTGCTTAAACCGATGATGTCATTGCGTTCTGAAAAAGAGGCAGGACAATAACATCTTAAAGGGATAGGAAGAGCTTTCATGGCCTGGGTCAAGTGAGATGCGTTTCCATCTATCTATCTATCTATCTATCTATCTATCTATCTATCTATCTATCTATCTATCTATCTATCTATCTATCTATCTATCTATCTATCTATCTATCTATCCATCTATCTATCTATCTATCTATCTATCTATCTATTTAGATAGACACCATCTATCTATCTATCTATCTATCTATCTATCTATCTATCTATCTATCTATTAGCAAGAATTGGATGCTGTATATAGACACACACACACACACACACACACACACACACACACACACACACATGTTGGGTTTCCATGTTGTATCGGGACTCTCCATTTATTCTGTACAAACTGTATATTCTGTCCCCCTACACTAACCCCTAACCCTTAACCCTACCCATCACACAAAACTGCATTTTTACATTTCCAAAAAACACCACTTAGTATGATTTATAAACTGTTTCCTCATGGGGACCAAAAAACGTCCCCACAAGGACAAGGATATTTGCATTTGTGTTTATGTTTTGTGTTTGTTTTTTATGTATTTATTTCCCCAAAAAGCTTTGTAACTAAAATAAATAATTAAACAGTGTAACTGTAAATGACTGCTTGTTATAGCCCATTTCTTGCATTTTTCTTTGTACATTTTACTTTTGTCCCTACATTTCCCTCTTCTCTGTGTGGAACTGACACATAATGAGATTTGAAGCCTTATAACTAAAATAAAAACATACCGAACCAATGGGGAAGAGGGGAAAGGAGGAAATAAAAATGATTAATTAGAACATAATGTCTTAACACTATTTTAACACAATATGACCACTAGAGGACACTGTCTTTTTAAAAATGAATGGGTTGCCCGTGGCTTTTTGTCATGTAAGTCAATAAGACTGTTCATGAATCCTAAGCTTTATGGAGAACAGATGAAGCTGATTGAGACCAATGAATTATCTCAGTTTGACAGCAGATGTGTATTGAAGAAGGCATGGTTTGAGTTAGGATAGCCATGCTATGTTTTGCATGTTTGACTTGTTCAGGCTTGGAATTTGGAAATTGGAATTTGTCCCATAGGCTACTAATATTAGAAACATGTTCAGAGGTAGGAGAATGATGGAAGATTTGACAAGGATCTGTCCAGTGAGAACAGGACACCTGGCACGAACTGCACTCTTTCTATTTACAGTAATATGGTGTTAACATTTCTCCAAAAGTAAGCAAAAGTAAACACACTTTCAATGTCATTAAAATGTAATTAAAGAAAGAATTTAATTACAGTAAGATGATCTGAATTCCGCAGTTGGTCAATAGGAGGCGATGTATGACCAATCACTGATGAAGAGCTCAAGCAAGAGGAAGTGTGTGTGTGTGTGTGTGTGTGTGTGTGTGTGTGTGTGTGTGTGTGTGTGTGTGTGTGTGTGTGTGTGTGTGTGTTTAACCCTATTTTTTTACAGTCTATGGTTTAACCTACATGGTTGGTGAGGAACAAAATGTCCCCACAAATATAGTAAAATGTGAAAATGTTGACATTGTGGGCCCATTTTGTCAGCTTATAAATCATGCAAGTAGTCTCTAATGTTTTTTGAAAATGTAAAAATGCAGAAGTTTTCTGTGATGGTGGGTAGGTTTAGCGTAGGGGAGAGAATATACAGTTTGTACAGTATAAAAATCATTATGTCTATATGGAAAGTCCCCTTAAAACATGGAAAAACAATAAGCCTATGTGCATGTTCTTTATACCGGTATATAGGTATATGAGAGATAGTAAACATTGTGTGTGTGTGTGTGTGTGTGTGTGTGTTAGAGAGAGAGAGAGAGAGAGAGAGAGAGAGAGAGAGAGAGAGAGAGAGAGAGAGAGAGAGAGAGAGAGAGAGAGAGAGAGAGAGAGAGAGAGAGAGAGAGAGATCAGCAGGAAAATAATTATCATTATTAATGCAAACAGAATTCAATTCTGCTGTAAATCAGCTCTAAAAAGACAATCATGCCATTATACTGCTGAAGTCAGCTCAGTGTTGATTCAGTTCAGTTCAATGTCTAAAGTTCATCAATTATGAAATTAGTTCAATTGAGTTATGAAGCAGTTCTGCAGAAAACAGTGATGTCATCATCCAGCTTAGTTCAGTTCTTATCCAATAGTGTCAGTGCAGTCAAATCAATAATATTGCTGAATATTAAGTGTTCATATATGGCAACAAAAGGTTCAGTTGATGTAAGTTAATGTTTTAGGTATAATGAATAACACAGCATATGTTAAAACACATTCCTAACATTTCAAGTACATGTGTGAGTTTGAATGAACATGAATTAGCTAACAACACACATACTGTAGCCTATGTGATAGATTGAAGGAGAACAAATAAATAAATCCAACATGTGACAAGAACATTTCACTTTTAGCCTGCTTATTAGTCATCATGCATGCCCGATAAATGGCAACAGCATCAAACAAATCTGTTGCATCCACGTCAGTGCTTTTTTTTCTTCGGGCTCCCTTTGTGCCAAACAGAACTAAAAACAAACTGATGACATGTGGAGCGTTGTGACCTTCACACCCGTGTTGCAGCACCGTGTTCCAGGTGCGCTCAGCCCACACCACCCACCGCTCTCTGGACCAGTTCAACCAGTTCCTCCCCGAAGACTCTCACCCACTGACCCACTGGCGGAAAGCGTGGGCGCCGTGCGTCCCAGAGTCCGCTTTTAGAACGCCAGATGGCTATTTTCTTCCCCGAGCACTCGAAAAAAGAACAGAGTTACATAAAACTCGCACTGCTAGGAAGGCTGCTGGTCCTGGAGAGATCTGTAGAGAACAAAGGTATCAAACAAGACCTTCAATCTGTGTTTCTTCTCAAAATAACACAAGCGAATGTGTGAATATTAAGCAGAGATGAGTCACTTTTAAAAAGATATTGTGGGCCATTGTTCTTGATGATGTGCGAATAAAAAAAAATAAAAAAAAAATCGAATGAAGAGCCACGCTGTCATTTTGACCTAATGGTGGCATGTGATTCAAAGACTGCAAAACATTGGGTCACTTTTTCCATTTTAACACAAAAGTCAAATGTCATTGATATATTTATAGCACAAATCATGACTTGCACATGCTGTTGTGATATAAGTTGTTTCATGACTTTTGTTATGACATTGCTGGTGAGAGGAAATGACCATATCCTCTTGGAGAACGTGTGGGTGTGCATATCAGCATATCTGCTTGTTCGAAGGATAAAAATAAAGCAATGTCAGCTTTAGTGGTTAAAAATGACGTGCAAGATTGGTGTCTAAGTGCATATCACATCGAGTCCTGTTTTTGGAAACATGGAGATATGGCATTAAATTGACCTTCTGCTAAAATGATTCAGATCCAAACTGTGGATTTCAACATGTGCAATGATCTCAGAGAAAAAGAAAAACAGGTTTGTATATCTGTTAAATATAATGCACTCTGTCATTTAACCAATGTCAAGAATAGATTGTTTATCTAGTAGATTGGTGAACCTGATTTCATCAAGTACAACATGTTACTGGAACAACATTTCAATCAACCAATCAGATGTAGGGACAAGTTTACAGTTTATGTCGCTTACAATCAAGGTTAGGGGCTTCTACATCAGTTGAACTTATGGTTTGGTTTAGGGATAGGGATAGTGGTTCTGGGTGGTTGCTTTCAGTCTTAAAATTATAGGAATAAAAGGATTGAAATGAACAAATGTAACGGTTATGTTCTGTTTTTTTACTCTTATGTTTCCCTATGGAAGCTTGTTTCCGCCACAGAATGAAAAATAAAAAAGGAAATTGCGACTTTTTATCTCCCAATTCTGACTTTTTTTCTTACAATTGCAAGTTTACATCTCGCAAATCTGACTTTATTTCTCAGAATTGCGAGATATTTAGTCAGAATTGTGTGATATAAAATCGCACTTGCGTGTTATAAAGTCAGAATTGCAAGATATAAAGTCAGAATTTATTGATATAAAGTCGCAATTGCAGGTTATAAAGTCAGAATTGTGTGATATAAAGACGCAATTGCGTCTTGTAAAGTCAGAATTGCGTGAAATAAAGTCGCAATTGCGTGTTATAAAGTCAGAATTGCGAGATATAAAGTCAGAATTGATTGATATAAAATCGCAATTGCGTGATATAAAGTCAGAATTGCGTGATATAAAGTCGAAATTGCGTGTTGTAAAGTCAGAATTGTGACATATAAACTATTCTGAGGGGGAAAAAGTATTTTTTTCCCCCTTAGAATTGGCCTGATAACTCGCAATTGCGAGTTTATATCTCATAATTCTGAGAAAAGATGTCAGAATTTCGAGATATAAACTCGCAATTGTGAGAAAAAAAGTCAGAATTGTGAGATAAAAATTCTGTCTTTTTTTCTCGCGACTTTATTTCTTGCGACTTTATATCTCGCAATTGCGACTTTATTTCTCATAATTGCGACTTAATATCTCGCAATTGCGACTTTATTTCTCATAATTGCGACTTCATATCTCGCAATTGTGAGATAAAAAGTCGCAATTATTATTATTATTTTTTTTTATTCAGTGGCGGAAACAAGCTTCCATAGTTTAGTACCTGTTCCCATTGCTGGTTTCTTTCTATGGTACTCATTGGATAATTGATTTTGTTCACCTGTGTCCTGTTTGGTTTTTCATTTATCTATGTAAGCCCTCAGTTTGGTTCTTCCCGTTGTCCGAAGCTTTTCAAAACTTTGAATCAATTGAACCAATTGTTTCGCAAAGTGATTCACTGTTTCGAAGCACACGGAACGCCACACGCTGGTCAGAACAGTGTGAATGAAACGGAAACTCAAACATGCATGTGTAATCTTTTAGATGCAATGAAAATTCATCTAATACCATTAAATATTAAATGTGTCTTT